TTCTATATTCTATTTTCTATTTCCTATTTCTCTCAATCTTCCTTTTTCTCATTTACATCTCCGTGTAACCACCGCCACCAATACCGTCTTTCCACGTTGGCATGACAGTCTTGCTAAGCAGTGACAACAACCTCGAGTTGACAAATATAACAGATCATTTAATCAAAATAAGCATTTAGTTAGACATAATATTACAATTGTGTCTCTATCTCTGTGTGAGATCTCAAGTCACATGGACAAGAAAACGAAATATCTCTTGAAGAAGAAAACGAAATATCTCTTATAAAGGTGTGAGAACATCCCCCTTGTAGAGGCGTTTTAAAACCGTGAGCCTGATGACGATACGTAATAGGCCAAAGCAGATAACATCTAGTAGGCTTGGATTGTTACAAATGGTCTTTAGAGACATACATCGGGCAATGTGCCAGCGAAGACGCTAGATTCCTAAGATGGGTGGGGTGGATTGTGAGATCTCACGTGAGTTGGAGAGGAGAACAAAATGTTGGGGATTGTTGGGAGGGAGTCCCACGTTGGTTAATTTAAGGAATGATGAGTTTAGAAGCAAGAAATACATCCGGATATGATGAAGCCTTATGGGGAAGCCCAAAGTAGAGCGATGAGAGTGTATACTCAAAGTGGACAATATTATACCATTGTGGAGGTTCGTGATTCTTCACATATATGGAAACCTTTCCTAGTAGACACGTTTTAAAACTGTGAAGCTAATGGTGATACAGGTCAAAAAACAATATCTACGAGCGGTGGGCTTGAATTGTTACACTCTCGTCCTCCTATTTATTTTAATATAATTTTTTAAAAATGGTAACACCAACATAACTCAACGTTCAAATCTCCAATCTCACTCCAGCATACCATTATAATAATCAAAGGCTACAACCCGAGTGCTTGCGGCTTTCTAAATCATTGAAGCATTTGGCAAAGCAAAAGAAGACGCTCCTTTACCAAATCTTGACTTCTTTTACAAAGCTTTATAGATCAAATTGGGTACCCCATCCCCTAAATGAAGGCCTTTTCCACTAAGAAAAAGGAAGAAAAATGATACTCAAAAGCAGACCATCACAAACAATTCAAGAAAGATTATACCAAAGATCTTCTCCCCTAATACAATATTAAACCACTAACAAAGCCACGACATCTTTTGGGGCTAAACTTTAAGCACTAAGAATTAGTTTGAATCAAGAAATTTGATGCAATTTGATGCATGCACTCATCAGTATAAGTGGAGATTTGAGTCAGATAAACATGTAAACATAGAAGCTAGTCATTTTAATCAAACAAGTTTCTGAGTGCATTTTGTTTGGTACAAGGATCAGGCAACAAATCCTTGGGGTTTTGCCTTTGAGCTTCTACCTGTTGTTCATCAGGAGCTGAAACTCCTTCAGAATCCTCTAAAATAACCCCTTGCTTCTGCAAAAACTCCCATTTATCTTGAAACAAATAAAAGAAACCAATGAAACAGATCTCTGCAGTGAAGAGAACAGTCCATAATCCAATGCTTCTTGAAGTTTTCTTATGGTACGCATTCAACCCAGTGTAGATATTGATAATTCCCACTAGACAAACTATTGTTCCAAGAATCCAATGCATAAGAAACCACACACTTCTTTCTTTCTTTCCCCTGTACACACGTGAAGTGCTGGGTGTTAGGATCGCACAATAACGCACACACTCGATCTAGATCAACACAAAGAATAAAAGAGAGAATTGGCTAAAAGTTTATATTGATGATTGAGATGAACACAGAACAGAGGTAGAAAATGCACGGAGGAATATTAGCTAAAGGTACGAGAGAATGCATAAAGTACGTTTTCAAAGCATTGCCTAAATGGTTATTTATAGTTCAGTTTACTATATATATAGCTTGACTAGATAGAACCATCTACTGTATCTATCGTATATATCTCTAACACCTTTCTACCGTATATATCTCTAGCAGCTTTTTACTACTCGTTTAGATGACCATTTTCCCTATAATATAAATAAACAACAAGCTCCATAACCGAACAGGGTGATTAAGCACCAAAATAAATTTTAAAAGTTCTTAGGGAAGTTATGATAAACTCTTGCTAGAACAATCATGTTTTGGCCCTACAAAAGTTCATTGATCAAGAAAGGTCCTAAAAGTGAAGGGTAAATGGGAAGGGTGGAGGACATTTACCTTTGAGGCCTGAAAGTGCCTATCACTGCCTGTGCCCATATGGCTACGTAAAGGGCTAAGCCTATTCTTTGATGGCTGTTATTAAATAAGTTCTCAAATTTTCTGAGGGACATTACAGCTCCAGCTGAGGCCAGGAGAAGGGATAGTGTCTGTTGAATGAAATTAAGTTAGTAAAAGAGTAACTTTCATAATTTACTCTTGGAAAGAAAGAGAGAGAGAGAGAAACAGAGCTTATCCTTATTGGAGACACTGAGATTCATCATGAGAATCACTAATTATAATCTTTTTCTTGCCATTCAAGTATGAATTCTTTAACTTCTCTGCCACTAAATTGTAATCAGCAGAACAAACAAAGTGGGGAAACCATGATGATACAACATGTTGGATATGATTATGTTCTTGCCAAATTCAAGAACAAAAATGGTTGCCTCTTAAGCATTTTATGATATCTAAGTTACAAGATATTGACAAAATTGATAGAAAGAATGAAGAATGAAGAACTGGGTTACCTGCAAAATGACATGGAGGTAGAAGAAGACCTTTAATTGAGTCGACCCACGAGCTAGCCGACCAGACATTCTAATTGTAAGTATACCAACAGGCATTAAGAACCCCATTGAAATCCAGAGGAGCAATCCATGGAGTTGAATATCAGATCTCTTTTCATGGCTTAGCTGCGAAAATTTAAACATATTTCAATACTTTAAAGAATCTCCTACTCTTAAACGTAATCTTGCATCAATAAATCAACAAGAAAAATAGTTGGCAAGAACAAATTGAAACGTATATCAATGATTCTAACGAGAAAATTAGCATATCGTTTGCCTTTTCATGGCCGTCTTCTATACTCCTCTGACTCCTAGCTTTCTTCAACCCTTCATGAGCTGAGCCTTGAACTAATGGCAGAAGAAAAGCATTGCATAAGCTCATGGTAACGAGCTCCAGGTTATGGAAGTTCCTCATTCTTCAATAACCAACCAAACATCAAAAATCAAGAACAACCCCACTTTAGAAAACCCTTTTTCTCAATCTCTCGTTCTTCCCGAAATGGGATTTGTAAGGATGAGGGTTCTGATGAGTTTGAGCAGCAGATTGTAAGTGGAATGGCTCAAGAACCAGTGACCTTGGAATCCCATTGGCTATATATTGAGAAAACTTCCGCCATTGAAAAGGGGTTTGGAAGAAAAGAAGGATGGTGAAGGGGGAATGATGAAGGAATGACATTAGCGAGGTTTCTCCTCTTGGGTTCTTGCCGCCCAAAAAGGCCATGTTTGGATGTGGTGGAGGGAAATATGATTGAAGGGAACAGAGGATTAGAATTGGATAATGATGCGAGGGAGTGGTAAGTTCAGCTCTAATTTCATTAGGATCAACACCTAAACATAGTTTAATCCATACCATCGATTCAAGAGGTTTGTTCGTTTGAAAGCAAGAATAGAACTTAACACCATATTTGTTCTCCTTCGTTTAGTTCAAGCCCACTGTTAGCAGATATTGTCCACTTTCATTCCCTTCTCCAATTGACGTGGGACCTCATAAATATGTTAGCTAATTGAAATATGTTCGTATCAACACGTTGTTTTAGTATTTTGAATCATGGTTGAATACGCATGAAGTGAATTTGTTGAAATTGAAAGATCATAAATCCCACCAGACACGTAACAACGATTTGTCCTTTGTACTCGATTACCTTAAAGGGTGTTTGAAGGTAAACCATCCATGATGACAAAAGGTTAACCAATGTCAATTGTAAAATTATGTATAAAGACAGGCATTATGATGTCCACTAGGTTGGAGAAGGACCAGAAGAAAGGAAAGAAAAATAAGAACTTTATATTTGAAAATTGGGATATTGGGCCCACCCAGTCCACTCCTCTTTACAAATTACACCAAACTGAACTAGCTTTCTAATTCAATGAATGCTTTGAGAATGGCTTCCATGACCAATAAAAATGCACCAAGTTTTGTACCCAATAATGGTATTCTTCAAATTTCTAACTCATTTTGTATTCTAAATAACAATTTTGAAAGAAAAGAAAAACAGTTTTAATTTGTTTTATTTGAGTTATTTATATTTATGTTAGTAAATTTTAAAATATCTATTTTAGTCGCTTTAAACGTTATTTTCTTTAACTTATTTGAATAATAGTTATTTTTTTTAACTTATTTGAGATGAAATAACGGTTACAATAATAGTTATTTTCTTTAACTTATTTGAATAATAGTTTTTTTTTTTTAACTTATTTGAGTTGAAATAACGGTTACATTGACACGGTGGTACACATTCTAAAGGTTGCGATTTAAAGTAAATCGTGTACCATATACAAAACTTATTCATGCGTGGCACACTACATGGTAGCAAAATATGAGAGTTGATCATACGAGCTACCACCTGGAGGCCACAAAACTCGTATATTAAGTACACCACGAGCTGAGCTAAGGTCGAAACTCATGTACCTCATCCCAACAAAATTATAACGTTTTGCTTTCTTAGTGTGATGAGATACTTCTTATGCAAGAAAACTTCAGTGGTCTGAAACATTAGGACAACAAACATGTCATTATGGTTACACACAGCTATTTCATTATTACATTATAACATGTTTTGAATAACTCTAATATCTAAAACACAAATATTATGAAACATTATTATTTGTTGTTATTTAATGTGAAACCTTAATCAAAATTCTAGTAATGCATTCTAGTAATCTAGTTTTTTAAAATTCAGATAATGTTCAAGATTAATCAATACAACAAATCATAATTAGTTCATATATAAAAAAAATGAGCCCAATGATATAAAAATCAAAGCACGGATAAAGAAAAATCAAAAGCAAAATTTTGGATCCTCGAATAAAAATTGGAACATTCGTGCTAACAAAAGGAAGTGAAAGGTAAAACCTACCAAAATTTTCAAGTTTTAAACCAAACTATAATCCATCTTCTTGCTTGGGGGATAAGAAAAAGGGGAAAGTTTACATGAATAGATTGGGTTTTGAGGCCTTGTATGTGGTCTTCAGCCTCCTGGTTGGGGGTCTAACCTTCTTGAACACCAGAGGGAATTTGATCTTGGAGTCATGGAATTGTTTGGTGCTTTCCCTCTTGCACAGCTTAGCAGGAACAGTGGCAGTCTTGATGATTTGGATGCATGGATGTCTGACCCTGTGCCGAGAAGCCATCTCGTTGTACATTTGTTCCACAGCGCCGTTGAGAGTGGTGTCGCGATATTCCTTGTACATGTTGTGATACCCCGTTCGGCTTTGGTAGCGCAACCAGATACCATAGTTCTTGATTTTGGTAGGATTCTTCTCAAAGATCTGCAAGAAATCGAATTGAAGATTAATATTCCAAATGAAAGAAATTCAAAGCTCAACCATACCAAATATGACCCAGCACACGATATGCTGCAAATGAAGCCATCACCAATCATACAAGCAAATCAGTGTTTTGAAGCCAAATACCCTAACTCCTATAACCAAAACAATACCAAACTTCTCCCTTCCCCACTCCCTCTATTTAAAGCAAAATACCCGAATAACTTCCCTTTTAATTACAAATATACCCTTAATATGCTAATAGTAATTCATGAACATATTCTAAAGCCATTCCTATCACATTTTGATAGGAACCAAAACAGAAACAAGCCATATTGAAAATATAAGAGACGAAGAACTACAAAATAAACCAAGTGTTTTGCAGTATTTGGACCCTCCATTCTTGGGAATTCTCTCAAGCTAATGCCTATAACCAAACAAATGCCCAACTTCTCCCTTCCTACTCCCTCTATTTCTAAGCAAATTACCCAAATAACTTCCTTACTAATTGCAAATATACCCTAAATACGGCAATAATGTTCCTAATCTTATTCTAATGCCATTCCTATCAGAAACCACACTCTTTCTCATACCTCCTCCAAAGACCTCGCTAAACCTTTAAAAGTCCTACTATTCCTCTCAAGTCACACTACCCACAAAATGGCAAAAGAACAAGCTTGCCACTAGACTCTACCTTTATCACGAAACGGATAGTTCATCAGAATATCCTCCATCGTAGAGCAACAGTCTCTGTAACACACCACAACCACTCCAAATACAATAAAATACTACCTCCTAACGGAACAAGAAAATTGATAACCCCGCAAAAGATGATCAACACCCTCCTCCAGCTGACATTTAGACTCTATGTAACAACATCACCACCAGGAAAGTGGGTATACCCCCTCGGTGGAATGTCTCTATTTTTATCAGAAAACATGAGTACTTGGATAAAAACATCTCCATTTAGATATGTCAAAAACTAACACAAGAAAACCTTCGTTAGCTAAATGGACAAGCACAATATTCGTGTTTCATTTCCTTCTTAATCACTAACCCTTTCAGTTCACAAAAACAGGGAGAGACTACATTTTCAAAAAGCTAAAAGTTCATGGAAATAACATCAAAAGATCATTAGCTTTAGACAAAAAAACAAGAGCAATGTTCACTATCCTACGCATGTATTACCTCATTAATGGCAAGAACTTGTCCATTACTCTTCTTGACCTTCTTCAACTTCCTCAAAAAGTACCTGTTGAGAACAATTGGACAAATTGTGGCAATTCAACAACTCGACTCAAAAGCTACATTCGAGTAAAATGCAATAGCATTCCCAACGGGAAACTCACCAGAACTTGGACTTAGCTCGGACCTCATTCGTGGCCCATAGCTTCATTCGGTATATCTTCGGATGTTCATCTGATTCAGAAGGAAGAGCCCTCCCCACAACCTGGTATTGGTGGAACTGCAAAACAAAACCAAATCACAAGAATTTAACACACCTCCAATCCCCAACATTTTGATTCTGAAGAAACTAGGCAATAGAAATGTGGCAAATTATCATTTCAAATTGCTCACGAAAGCCAAAAAAATCAATTCAACGAACCAGAAATCACATATTCAATTCCCACATCCCTGCACTTCTCTAATGAAAGTAGAAAAATTCACCCAAGATTAGAGGAAACCCCTTCATTGATGGGCTACACATCCATCCATAGGACAAAAACAAGAGATCTAAGAACAGAAATCGAGTCTTACCCTAAAAGTCACCATCTTGGAGGAAAAGAGAATCTGCTGATGTCTCTGTAAACGATCTCTCTTCCCGACTGGTTACTGAGACGCGGGCTTAGGGTTTTGCTTCAAATTTATACCTGGGCTTCAGGTGCAAATATAGACCCATAACTCTTTTTTTTTTCCGTAATTCTGTACTATTTTTTAATTTAAAAAATAAAAAAAACGTTGGATTTTATTTAAGTAAATTAAAAAATAATAATAATATGAATAGAAAATTAAAATAATTAATATTGTTGGTATTTAACGGATTTTGTTTATACAAAGCAGGCCTCTCAAAGTTTTAATGGGCCAAGTAGAGATCAGGCCCATTCTTTAGACACTTGGCCCACCAATTTAACACCCCTAAACACGAAACTAAACATAAATATATATATATATATATATATATATATATATATATTAATTATTTAATATTTTATTTTTAGTTAAATTATAAATTTGGATTCTATCATTTAAAAATGTTAAAATTTAATTAATAAAATTTCATAAATTATATCAAATTTTTATCTATCATGTAACCATTCGATTTAATCCTAATATAAATATCATTTTCACAACCCATAATTTGATCTCATTTTAAAATAAATGAAAAACAGCTGTTGGTATTCCATTGGTCGCCCTAAATTGACATGTTCATTTCCTCGTTGGGACCACATTGGAACACTGACCAATAAAAATTATGGAAGGTGGTGTGAGACGGTGTGACATGTCAACATTCTAAGAGATCTAAATTTATACGTGATCAGATCTATGGAATCCAACCAGCTTAACTATAGATTATCATATGCCAAAAATTACAAGAAATTTAACGTGACATGAATTAAAACATCTTGTAGTAATTTGAACAACATTTTTTTTTTCAAGTTACATATTTAATATCTTGGTTTATATCATAAATATATATATAAAAAAAATGGTTTATTATAATTTATAATATATTTTTTCAATATGATCCCATTCTCCTCATATCAAGAATTAAGTTAACCAAGAGCTACCAAATAGCATCAACGAGAATGGATGAAAATTTAGAATGTATTTGGATGAGCTATTAAGAATATATCTTTTTAATTAAGTGGTCATTATTTAAAAACCCTAATCCATCATGGTTTTACTTTTTAGAAAGTGGGTTTAGTATAATTCTAAAATATTTATTTTTAGATAAAATAATTTTGAAAAGTATATAATTAAGTGTCTCGTTTATAAAGATTTAAACCACTTTTTCAACCTAATTATTATTTATTAGAAGAATCAATGATAAGTATAACTAAAATGTCAAAAATATGTATATATATTAACGTAGATCCAATATTAATAATAAAAGAAATTTATGCAATTTTTTATATTTATATTTTTTTTTTCAAAACCATCACCATTTTATTTATATTTAGATCGATAAATTTTTTAAAATGAAAGCTTTAAAACATTTTTTTTTCTCAAATTGACATTTAAAATCACAATGTGAAGCATATACTCGATAAATAACGTTAGATCATGGAGTTCTAATCAATCAAAATAAATATAAAAGTAACGACAAAAAGTTGTATTATCGTACATCCAAATGACATCTTTTTTAGAAAAATTATGACCCTTCTTTGTTTCTTTTTTACATAGGATAGGGAGAGTACAAAAAAAAAAAAAAACATTTTTTTTTTCACTATGCTTAAAAGGTGATATACATTTTGAAATTCTTTCTCGTGTTTATTTGGTCACTAATAGGAGTGTTCAAATGATTTAATAACTTCATCGATTTGAACTATCTACTCCAAACTAAAAATGTTGGGTTGAGTTAGATTTTTTATATTCTAATTCGGGTTAGGTTGAATTTTTGAAAAATAAAAAATTTGGGTCAATTTGTAAGTTGACATTTTTTAGTTCGGTTCAACCCGACCAAATCAAAAATAGGGTTACCACCCAACTCAACTCTACCCTACCTTTTAAGATCATTACAAAAATTAAAAATATTTGATTTTTGTAATTGATGTTAGTGATGTATTATGACCTGTTAATATATGATATTTAAGAAACAATATTTTTAAATAATTAACAAATAATAGCGTAACGACCAAATTCAATTAGAAAATAGAGGGTTAGATTAAGCTGTGAATATGTTCGAGTTGCTCGAGTCACCAACTCAATAAAAATTTCAATCCAACTCATATACACCCCGCTCTCTCGCTACTAGATTTTACCGTTAATTAATATTTTAATTGAAAAAGAGATACAAAGTGTGAGAGAGAAGCTTGAATCCAGCTCAGCCACTACTTGGATCCATGTAAAAGCAATGGCTGAGCATGGGAATCAGGTCACCCAACTAATTAAAAACCTTTTATTTATTTTTAAAATTATTATTATTTGTCTGTACAAAACAAGTGGTCCAAGATGGTCAACATCCCTTGAAGCGAAATTAAATTCTTTTTTCAGATATAATATTATCAGTATCTTTTTAATCAAAATATATTCCTTATTAATCATCATCTTCTCTCATCTCAAATTAATTTATTAAAATAAAATTACAATTTCATGCCACAAATAATTGTCATATTTATAAATAATTCGTCACATTCCATTTTGAAAAAATATATATATAACATAACCCTACGAGAAATAAAGAGAACATCTTACAAATTTGATTTAATTTTCCATAAACGTGAACGGGCAAGTACTTTGAGATGCATAGGTTTTAGAAGTACGAGTTTTTGTAATTTATAAATAAACTCCCGTACCAAATAGAATTTTATTTGCATAATTCAAAATTATATAGATTCATCTCGAACATGACATGCTTCTTTGACATGGGAACAATAATCTTATAAAAAAAATTAAAAAAAGAAAGAATAATAGAATCTATTATATATTTTCATGTGGTTATGATCAATATAGAAATGGGTATCTCAAACCTATTCTTTACACAATGGGTATCTTAAATCTTGTTGTTTACACTAATACAAATGGGTATCTTAAAATCTTACTCTTTACTCTCTTCATTTTAAGCCCATCCAATTAGGGAATAGAATATAATTTCCTCATAAAATTATATATATATATATATATATATATATATAAATTTTATGTATCAGTTCAAGCTCAGTCGATCATTGACAGATATTGTTCGCTTTGACTCGTTATATATCGTCGTTACCCTTATGATTTAAAAATTCATATGTTAGGGAGAGGTTTCCCCTTTTCAACCGATGTGGAACCTCATAATTTAAAACTTGATTATATTAAAAAAAAAATTAACTTTTTCACGAGCTTGATAGATTGATATAGACATTTTTACCGTCAAGATAAAATGATGTCAAATTTTGGTGGATGATCTTTTAACAAGTTGTTGCCTCAATGTTTACACGCCTTTATATTATCCTACGTTGTGTTATTTATCATATAACAAAAAAAAAAAAAAATGTATATTTTGTGGTGGTTCATTTGAGACCACATTTTTCAATATCATTATTATAAAGAAGAAACAAATGGTCACCATCACGAATCACATTTATATCATCAATTTCTGCATTATCTGCATTCATCACTTTTGTGGGCATTTCCCTTCCAAACTTCTCACCTGCATCAAACACGGGACCAATTCGTTAGGGTCGATTTAAAATGATTTTTCAAGTGTTGGTAAAAAAAAAAGTTTTAATGTTTAAGAAGTCGTTTAAAACAAATATATAGGTTTAAAGACGTGTTTGGTTTTTATCAAACGTGACCTTACCAGCAACTTTACAGAGCTCTTCGATCGAATTCGGGAGAAGCATTAACTTTCCATATCGACTTTCAACCGTGCTTCTATCTCGAGGCTGTATAAATACAGTAACCCTTTTCTTGATTTGTCTCGAGACATTCGAGTAAGAGCTCGTGGGCAAGTTTTCTACCGAGGAACTAATAAAATCCGACCGAAAACCTCCATCTCTTGCTAGTAACTTGTTGTTATGAGACAAATTAATGTCGTTTTCACCTCCTTCAAGCTGTTCATCAAACTCAATTCTATGTTCATCTAAGCTTCCCAAATTTTCATCCTCATCTCCAAGCTTCTTTAGCCCACCATCACACCAAACATTCCCCATTATTCCTTCATATTCCTTCATTTTCTGCAAATAAGCAATAAAAAACCAATTAATTTAACTAAAAAAAAGAATTTAAAATAAATAAATATATAAATAACTAAATACCATGAAAAAATTGTTCATGATAATATTCCCATCATCTGTGTTTGATTGAATAATATACAACAAAGAAGCTCTCTTGATCCTTAAAATTTGCGAAAGATTTGTTGTTCTAACTGTCAATGGCTGCGGCTTTTGACATAAAACTCCAAATTCTCCGAATGTATCTCCACCTGTTGCTCTTCCAATAACCTATAAATTTTAAAATATTTTGTTAATAAAATAAAAAATAATAATTTTATAATTAATAATATAAATTCGAGAGCTTACTTGATCATGCCCATCAATTTTGGATATTAAATCCTGAAAATTTGAAATTATTTAATATTATAAATAATAAAAATTAGGAAATTAAAGAAAATAAAATTATGGAATTTTATAATTACCACACTGCCTGAAACCAATATATAGAGATCCGTTTGAGCTTCACTTTGGAGTATAACATCTTCCTTTGGTGGGAAATACTCAGCCTCCACATCTGAGACCTTAAGATAAAAAAAAAAGTAAATTAAAACACAATAATTACTGTGATTATCATTGATTTTTACTGTAATTTTACTGTAAAATTACCAATTGGAAAAGGAAGTCATGAGAAACTCCTTCAAAGAGGTAGGCCTTCTGAACAATAGGATAAAAGAGATAGTGAGCTATGGAGACTCTAATGGCCTTTGGAAGGTCATTCAATGTGTCTTGCTGCTTAAGCCCTTCGGTTCTAAACTTGAGACATATATGAGACAGCATCTGGTCTTGTATGGGGTTCGGTAGCTGATTTCTCGACGCGAACTCCGTGGCAGCTCGAACCGAATCCCTCTGAAAAAAGATCCCAACCCATGTCAATTATCACTTTCGTTTATCGTTTAGAATTTGATCGTGCGTGCATGCATGCATGTATGGAAGGAAGGAAGAATTTGTTTAAAAGATGGGACGTACGAAGTTTCGAGTGCGACTCGTCCAATGGACGACGAGATTCGTCATGTTACCGATGAGATAAGAAGTCAAGCCTAAGTTGAAGAGCATGTAAAATATGTCAAAAAGCATTTCTCTGGGGTTCTCTGCATGGAGATCGCCATAGCCAGTGGTGGTTAAGGTGGTAATGGACCAGTAAATTGCAGTAATATAAAGGTTCCATAGGCTATCTTCCTTGAAATTTGGGTTCACTGCACCAATCCATGTTCGTTTTGGGTCCGGATATTTGTCGGCTATTAAGTAATTGAAGCACCCAGCACAATGTACTGCAAATAACGTTACCTGTAAAATGTAGCAATTAGTGAGTAAGTTGGAGCCCCGTTAATAAAAATGTTCGTGGGTTGGGTTGGACTGGGTTAAGACTGAATCTTACGGGTTCAACTTGTAAATTTTCTAATTCAAACTATTCTTATTAAATAATGAACTTGACTTAACTTTAGTGGAATTTATTCGAATTATTTAATTAAATTTTTGTTATTAACCAAAGTAAAAATTTATTATCTATTTATTTATTTTTAAACATTTAATTAAAATATACCATTCAATTTCAATATATATTTTAATTGGATTAAAAAATAAAAAATAAATAAAAATATAATTCTATTTATTAAAATTAATAATAAATTTAAATTAATTTATTCTGATTGAATTCAAATTTATAAAATTTTCATTTATTTTAACGGAGGATAAAATAATAATAATAATAATAATAAAATAAATAAATAAAAGTAAGTTGACGATGCTTACAGAAATCAACTTTGTGCAACGGGTCCAGAAATAATTGAACCTGATGTCCTTTTCAAGCCTAAAAAAGGAACCCAAGTCAGCCGGAGCTTGATCGGAGCCGAGCTTACCGGAATATATGAATAATTAAAAAGAAAGAAAGTAAGTTCTCATCTAAAACCTTGCAAAGAGAGAGCTGACCCGTCGGAGCCGCCATAGCCGGAGCATATTCAGAAGCTTAAACCCAACTTCCCCACTTTGATTGGTGAACAAGAAACTAATCGACTGCAATGGCGCCGTCGAACAAACGTCGAAAATAAACCAAGTCGATAAGTACCTATTAAAAAAAAATAATAATAAATAATAATAATAATTAATTAAAATTAATCATTAATTATAAAAAAAAAAAAATGATTTTTCTGGGTCTGACCTGACTGCAATTTTCTTGGGGTGGTCAACGAGAAGATAAGATTGAGAGTCAAGATAGGCGACGAAGAAAGTCAAAACGATATCGACGGCGAAGAAGGCATTGACGAAGTGATCTATGATGAACAGAGCATTTTGTTTGTAGGGAAGGAATGCGAATTCGAAAGGACAAATCCAAGCAGAGTAAATGACTAGAGCCACCAGCCACATCTCCCATGCTCTGTTACCCAAAATCCGACCATGGTTAAAATTTAAAACGGTAAAAATTTAGAATTAAGAGAGGTAAAAAAAAGAGTTACCGATAACGAGGGTTGAAAGGGGAAATGATGTGTTTACGAAGCTTGGTGGATTGGTTGATGGTGGCGCCGAGAGATGGCAACAGGTCAGGGGACAAGAAAGTGCTTTGAAGAGCGCCGTTGGTTTGGAACTCGTCGGTGAAGAAGCGCTGGAAGAAGTGCTTTGTACAGGAAGAACATGGCATTGTTTGTTGCAGAAATTATACAGGAGGCGGCGGAGGCGGCGGAGGAGGAGGAGGCGGCGGAGGTGAGGGCGGGAAAGAGAGAATTTGAAGAAACTCTTTCTTTTTTTTGCGTTATATAATGCTTACAACAAGAACTGTTATTGTTATCATTATTATTATTATTATTATTATTATTTTAATTTGTGTCTGGGAAGCTCTGTTTGTGGGGGGTTGGCAAATGGAAAATCAAAGGTTCACGTGCAGTGCGCGTGATGTCTGTGAAATGAAATTAGAAGGGGAAGGAATCGGACGGTGGAGATTGATTTAGAGAAGCAGTTGGGGGACACGTGTAAACTGGTCTCTCCCAACTTTTTGTAAACCTTTTCCCTATTTGATGCTTAGAATATTATTTTAATTGGCTGCCATTAATCCATCTCAAGTCCAAAAACATTTTATTATTAAAAAAAAAATGGAGCTTTTTGGATTTCATAATTATTTAATTTTTAAAAATGTTTTTTTTTTAATTTGGGGACGAGAAAGTATGAAAATGTATGGGAGAGTGATTGGGAGGTGGACGAAGGGTTATGATTCCATACGTCAATTTAGTTTATATTTCTTGAGTTATCATTTATATATATCTCGTTCAGGATCATTGTTATTTTATATCAGTTAATTCTATCTTTACCATATAATGTTGTTTAATAAGATGTAAGTGAATTGACAGATTAGACCTTTAAATTAAGAATGGGCTCTGAAGTCGAATTAAATGCAAGAATAAAATGGACCAAAATTCTATTCCCATTCTCTCAATCAACTTTCTTTCTAATTATTCCATATTATCATTTTCCTTATTTTACAGTTTTTTTTTTTTTTTTTTTTGGAAAAAGGGTTAAAAATCTTCTGATGTACTATCATAAAAACATGTGATGGAAATTATTAAAAATTAAAATAAAAAACTTGAAGCATAAATAAAGAAATAAATAATTAGCTAAAAACCAGATTTTAAATTTTTAAATTTTTTAATTTTGAAAATTATTTAATACGTCAATGCAACATCGAAGTAAAAAAGAAATACATTAATGAACCGATATCACATTAAATGACAACAATTCTAAGGTGTACTTTTTTTTTTTTTTTTTTTGGTAGCTCAATCGTAGGAAGTCTATAGTTAAACGTGTTTTATTTGGAGCAATCTTATGTTGGGTAATCTCCTACAAATTTACTTAAGAAGCGATGTCGAGACTATCGGTGTCGAATTCGGATAATTATTTAAGAGACATAAAAAAATTAAAAGATGAATAAAACAATGATAAAAATTATAATATTGCATAGTGATTCTGATTGGGATGAGGAGGAGGATGGGGCGGCACAGACCAAGCGCCAAGCGCTTGGGTGGAGGCAGAAAAGGACCATAAACATCGGCCATCAGCCATCAGCCATCGGCCATCGCCCATTTACACATTAAATATATATCATATTGTGTTGAGTTCCAACTCCAAATGCAAAGCTTTTTTTTATTTTTGTGGTTCAAAATCACAGCCCCCAACCCCTTTGCCCTTCCCATACATATATATTTCTTGATGTTGATTGCTACTCAAAGTGGAGCTCACACTTGATTCCCTTCACCCATGGGGATAGAATCATTTGAATTATTATTATTAATTTTTTTTTTTAATAATGGAAGAATTAATTGTCGTATCTACAAATCTATTATGCAAAATAATAACGTGCAAATATGAAAAAAAAAAAAAAAATCTCGTCTTCTACCAACGCACTATTTTAATTCCATTGATAAAGTAGATTTATATCACTAATATATTATTTTTATATATTATAATAATATGCCACGATTAGAAACCCACTAAACAGAAAGATTGGAATAGTTAGTTTTGTTTTTAATTCGTTAATTACAAATAAAATTTTATTGATTTTTTTTTCTTCTGTTATGGTCGATCTTTCTTTTTCTCTTTTCCCTTTGTCTACTTTTGTGAGATCACATGTTTATTGAAGAGGAGAATAAAATATTTATTATAATAACGTGGAAACTTTTCTTAATAGATGTGTTTCAAAACTGTAAGGTTAACAGTTATACACGTCGCGCCATAATAAAAAAATATTTGTTAAGTTTATTAATTACAAAATTCGAAGGAAAAAAAAATTGTCTAACTAATTTATAAAAATATATATTTTTCTTTTTAATTATAAGAATATTATTTTAATTATGTGTGGATGAACTTAGGGCCAAACAAGCATATGCCGATTATATTTATGATGTAGATATTTCGGCCAATATGAAACCTAAGATCGATTCCCTTGACTAAAAATGAATAAAATTCCTTAGAATTTGTTTCGTAAATTTTTAATTAAGAAAAAATTATATATGGATTAATAATAATGGTAGAATTTTTTTAAAAAAATAAGACAATATATATATATATATATAAATTGGGGTGTAAGTTGAAAAAACAAGTTTTATTAAAAGAAACATAAAATTTTAAAAAAATGGTAATAAAATTGGTTTAAATTAATTAAATTTGGGGGTTAAGTTGAAGAAATCCAATCATTTTATTTGTGGTTGAGAGTTGAGAGAGGTAAGACCTTAACTATTTGCCTTTTGCATTTATGACGTGGACTAGCCAAATATATTCCTTTTTGTCCAAGGAAAATAATGTAAAATAAAATAAATTTCATTTTTAATTAATAATTATAAATAGCGTAGAATTTGTAGAAGAATTTATTTTATACCAACCTAGAACAACCTCTCATTTTATATTTAAATAATTTAATAAATCTCATAATCAAAGGTTTTAAAATAATACTATTACAATATTCTAACTTAATATTGTCACATCACCTCCAATTTTGCTAGCCACCAACCGGGTATATCCAAATATATATATATATATATTTATATTTATATTTATTGTATTACAAATAACTTAACTCCTAATTAAATTATTAATTATGTTAGTAAATTATATATTTGAGCTATAAATTGAAATAAAATAAATTTAGAAAAAAAAATTATTGAGGATGGAATGTCAAAGGTAGAAGAAGCGTTTAAAGTGATAAAAAATTGACGTATAGAATATTAGAGCGTTGTTCCAAAGAAAGGGAAACCTAGGAAAGATCAATTGGGAAGAAGGGACCTTCCCCGTCCCTGTCTCTCTCCCCACCTCCTATTTCATTTCTCATCCCTATAGAAAATGTGTAAGGATCGAGCTTTACGTGTAAATTCTCTCTCTTTTTATATGTTTTTTTTTTTAAATATTCCTTAAAAAAAAAAATAATGAACCATTTTCATTTTCTAATATAATTGTTTTTAAAGCGGTAATAAATATAATTATATTTCATTAAAAAAATATAATATTCAATGTTATTTTTAAAAATTTGAATTTCAATATTACATCATAGTATTCCGTATTTATAGGGTGGAGCTGAAGTTGAGTTGGGAATTTAATTTCGGTCCCTGACCTCATTTAGTTGACGATAAATTTTACTCTTGCTCCCTCTCCATCTTCCATTGAAAAATTTTCACTCTATTTTAGGCCGATCTCCATGAATTAAATGGACATTCTCTATTCTACACATTCTGAATAGACCCGTCAACCACTAAATATGTACGATGTTATATAGATAGTGCCCTCTAACTCTTAAAACATAATCGACACTAAGCTAGTAAATGGTACGAGTGATTCGTGAATGTTATAGTGCTACTCAGTTATCATTATTCGACCTACAAATTTTGATAGATTTGAAAGCAAATAAACTCGATTCAAATTTTAATTTCCTTTATTTATTTTTTTAAAAAACGTTATATTAGTGTGAATTATGACACAATTCCCATTATATGAGGGGAGATATTTAGGTAAAAGGGTTTGTAATTAAGGTGGTCGACATCAAAATTATTCAACAAAAACATAAAATTTGTAACATCCTAGTCCCTCCCCTAAAAAAGTCTTCGATTTCGATGCGTCACAAACCATATCATTACATGTCTTTTTCGTTCAGAGCTATAATATAATATTAGTTAAATTATAAATTTAATTCATAAATATAATAGTTAAGTCTACCGTCAGTAGATATTCGTCAGTAGATATTGTCCGTTGTAGTCCATTACATATTATCGCCAGCTTCACGATTTTAAATTGCGTCTGTTAAGAAGAGGTTTCAACACCCTCATAAGAAATGTTTAGTTTCTCTCTCAAATCGATGTGTGATCTCACACTAAACTTTCAGATTAACGTTAAACTAGTTCCCGAACATCCAAGTTCATGTCAATGAAGATATTGTTGCTTATTTAGATTCAGCTATCTTCAACAATATCTACTCCTAAATTTCTTTCTTTCTTTAGGAATAAATGAATAGGAAGGTTTATCAAATTTTTGTTCTTTTTTGCTTCAAGAGTCATAGTTGAGTAAAAGAAATGTGTCATCGTTATTGCACGCTCACGTTTACTAAAATTTCCATTTTTTTTAGCTTTAAGAGTCGTATTTGAGTAAAAAAATGTGTATTCTTTGAACTTTCTCTTTCGGGTTTTCTGTCAAAGTTTTTAAAACGTGTCTGCTAGGGAGAGGTTTCTATACTCTTATAAAAATATGTTTTGTTCTCATGATGTGGGATCTCACACAATCCACCCTTTTCGGGGACCAGCGTCCTTGTTAGCATTCGTTCTCTACTCCAATCGATCTAGGACTCTCAATCCACCTCCCTCCCCCCCCCCCCCCCCCCC